CCTGCTGATTTTCCGTACTCTCCGGTGAGTCAGACAAACCCTCTCGTTTGGAATCTTGGGATTTTCCAGAAACTTGTGTGTCTGGTACTTCCTTGATATTTTTCTCATGGATAACTTCCATAGCTGAGTCTTTCTCCTCCAAATTAACAGCTGAAACGATCTCAGCATCCTGGTTACTGATGCTTGGCTCACATCTTTCATCTGGAACGGAAGGAGCAGAGCTTTCAGCAGCACCCTCTGAATTTCCAGAATCTGCAGCACCATCCACAACAATGGCTGCATCCTCAGCACTTCTCTCTGTTGATTGGACTTCAACCTCAGTATCAACAACCTCTGCACCTATATCATTCTTACGATCAACGACGACCTTCTCTTCTTTCTCTGCTCCACCATCATCATCCAGTCCCTTAACATCACTTGAGGAGACATCAGGTTTACTGGCACTAGCGTCGACGCTTGATGAATCAACAGGTGGCGAAGGCCTGATCTTCTCAATCTTAATCCGTTCCCGCGGTGGTTGCCTACTCTTCCTCTCTTTCTGAGCAGCCGTCCTGCTACCAGCATCCCCAGTTGCAAGCTTCAATGGACCCTGCGATGCAATTTAGCACAAAATGTAAACCATTGGTTCCCAAGCACATTTTGTATGCACAAGGAGGATACTCAGTCACGACCTTCTCCCTCAGCTTTCCCTTCTTCGCTTGACCTTCTTGACTGCTTGAACCTTCACCAAACAAAAATTAGAGATTAGTTCGCTCTCTAAGCAGCAAACCATGCACTGACTAAACCAAGGAGAAAACTACCTGAAGGCTGAGGGCTAGACTGCTCATCTGACAACTCGGTAGCCACAATCTTCGCCCTCCGGTCGACAACTTCAAGCAAGTCTGACACAAAAAAAAACAGGTAAGTTGTACTGCTCCCCGTTACCAACATCCAATAGCGTATTCAAGCAAGCAACAAGACGGATACGGGTTCGGATTGGGTGCAAATGCACGCGGCGCGCCAAAACGATCGGACAAAGCACAGCGCCAAGGCTAGTTCGCTAGGTTTAGCGACTGGCATTATAGCTCCAGGAGCAATCGAGTAAACGGCTGGCACGAGAGTAGAGGGGGGACAAGCGCCAAGATCTCAGTCGCGGAGAAGCGGTGGATCTGGGCGGCGAATCGGGAGGAGGGGGGAAGGAGGAGGAGGAGGTGGGCGTACCTTCGGCGACCTTGAGCCAGGAGGCCATGGCGGGATCTGCCGGATCGCCGCCAGGCGGGAGGAGGGGTGTGGGCCGGCGCGAGTGACGAGGAGCTTGGATGGATGGATGAATTGGCTGGTGAGATCTCCGGCCGCGGCAAGGCTGTGGGGTTCTAATGGCGGTACTACTACGGGTTGGTGGTGGCGGGGGACGGATCCAACCGGTCGCTCGGTTCGGTCGACGATGAGAAAACTAGTTCGTGTGTCATATACAGAAGCCCGTCTAGCTCAGTCGGTAGAGCGCAAGGCTCTTAACCTGGTCGTGGGTTCGAGCCCCACGGTGGGCGTGTGGCTCTTTTTGCGGGGAATTTTTCTTTCGCTCCTTTTTTTTCTACTTCCTCTGTTTTGATGAAACGGAGGGAGTATAATCCTTCTTTGAGCTCGTGTAACAAATATCGTTGCACTTTTTTGAGCAGTGATTATTTTTGAGCAATAATTCTTTTGCTTTCCTTTTTCTAATCCTTCAATGATACTTCTTGTTTTCTCTCTTTGGGATAATGCCCACCTGTATTTTCATTCATATAAACAAAAGGATGAGAAAAGTTTTAAGTTACTGTAGGAAATAAACGTGCTTATTGGCGCGTCTGTTTTACAGCCCGTGCATTCGATTTCAGGTTATTAAAAAGCTATGGCTGTATTTTAAATTTTTTATAGATATATACTTTGGAAAAACAATTGTAAAATACGTGTAATGGAGCTTTTGTTGATTTTCGAAATGACATTATTTTAAGTACAGGGGTAGTACAAATTTTGCAAAATTTTATAAGAATTGAACTGAACTTAAGAAAAAAAAGGTATATTCAAATAAATTTTATTTTAACTTAGTTTAACATAACAAAGTCTTGACATTCGTCTCCAACCGTTGAGTAGAGGCGCATAGGGGTGTCACTTGTTTAATTTACTCTGTTTTATATCAAGTTTAAGCTAATGTGGGTATCTAAATTTGTATTGAGGGGTGTAGACATGGTTAAAATAGGTTAGATATAGCTACAAATTTTTCTTAATCAGGTTCCTAGGCACCCCCCCTCCCCCCCCCCCCGCCCCCAATACTCTAGCTCCGCCCTGGAGGCGCGGCCAAACTGCACACGTGACAAAGTTCAGCACCGACCACACTGACGCTAACATACCCGACCTCAACACCAAGCAATTTGACGCTGAGATTGGGGACTTAGCCCCTCACCCCCTCGCGGTGAAGGTGTACTAGAGCCGAAGGTCAGCACCAAACGCCTTGGCGCTGAGGTGGCGAAGCTCAGGCCGATCAAATTGGGACCCACGTGTTCTTTAATTGGGACCCACGTGAATAAAAAAGGAAATAGAGATTGGCCACTTTATTTCTGGGAGCAATGATATCTGACATGCGGGTCCAATATACTTTTTTCTACACTAGCACTGATGCCTGTCACTATGCTTAAATTCAACAGGGAGAATCTTGCAATGCGTAGAATCGGCCTTATCACCTTCTCTCTCTCCTATAGAACCCTCTCTAAATTCAACAATGCACATGCTCTAAGATTAATCAGGCGCCTTAACAGAGAAGGTGTTCTTGCTATCATACAGCGACATTGATTTGATAGTTTAACATATTTCCAGACGGTAGGTTGCAGGGTTCATTGCAAACTTTTCTATGTAGATGTCTCTTAAAACTGGCATTGCCCTTAGAGGGTCAGTAAGTACCAAGGCGTGATTAAGATGGTTGTTCCAATAGCTGCCCGGCCAGACCGTCATACCCTTGAAACAAATGGTTACAAGAACAATATACAGTGCCAATATAATCACCATGACAATTACCTGCAAAACAAACAACAGACAAAAAAAGGTTGGTAACTGGAAATAAGGCACATCACTGCAACAACAAAAATGCGAACAGACGGGAAAAGGTTCGAAGGGTGAAAAAACAGGACTAGGATGATGCAGGAGTTCAATAGCTAGTGGGGTGATAGTAGTGGAGAAAAACAAAAAGGGGGCATCAGGAAGGGTTTACAAAACCGTGTGGTTATCATGTATGGTAAAGTTTTTAAAATTAGGTATACCTCGCGATAACCATGCGATTTTCATGCTAACCACGTGCACTAGTAAAAAAACAATTTTAACATACGGGCCAAAAGTAATTTTCGCGTGCGGACCTTCATCCCGTCTGTCTGAAAAGGTCTATGAGAATCGTTATTTTTCCATACGGGTGGCGCACCCACACATGAAAATTGATTTCACGTGTGGGTATGAATGTTGTCCCTATAGAAAAATAAAACCGGGAAAAAAATCGCAAAACGCCCGCTGCCGTTCCGGGTGGGGGATGGCCGCCACCACCGAATCTGAGCGAGGGAGGGCCGTCGTTGCTGCCATCGAGCTCCTCCCGCGTTCGCTGCCAGATCCGGGCGGGGGAGGGCCACCGTCGCCCCTCGCCGCCTTCGACGCGTGGGGCGCCCGCTGGCCGCCGTGCTCCTGCCCACCACCCATCGTGCTTCTGACTACCGCCGCGCGCCCGAGAGAGAGTAGTGTGTGTGAGAGAGAAGAGTATGAGGAAGAGAGGGATGAGAGGAGCTGAGGAGATAAGAATAGCTTGAAAAAAAATTGAAATGCTAAGAGGGACAAGAGGAGGTAACTTAAACTTTGGAGCGGACCTTAAGAAAATATATTTTTTCGTGCGGCTGCTTAAGAGACCCGTTTAAAAAAATAGCTATATTTTTGCATACCGCTTAGATTTTTCACATTTGTTAATCGGATTTGTTAATTTATTAGGTGGGAGGTTCTTTTACGAGTCGGCCCATCATATCCCTCCGTCTCCAGCGCACCCTTTTGTTATCTCGGGCCCCGGCCGTATTTAGCAGCATCTCTTAGGGCAAGTTTAATAAGAGAGTAAGCAGCCATCTATTAGATGCTTACATGTCATTTCTATATCATTAAAGATAATATAAAATTTAACTGAGTCATTAATTTTTCTTTCAATGTGGCCAAACCTTGGTTCTCTCTCCTAGGCTATCGACCAATCACAGATGCTCTTTCTATGTGGGCCAACCTTAATTATCTCTCACCTATTCTTTTCACCTATCACAGTATCCATCGTATGCATGCCGTGTCTAGGCGCCCGTGCACAGGCGTCGTTAATTTAGTCGACGGCTGCTCTCTCTCTCTCCACTCCCTTTTTCTTCCAGCAATGCAAAAAGAGCTTATGTCAGCGGCTAATAGTAGGTACATTTTCCACTATTGCACTAGCCCTTAGAGCATCACCAATAGATTAGCAATAATCTATTCCCTAAATTTGAATTTTGGGTTTCCTAAACTGAAAATAGGAAGTGAAAAAACTCATTCCTCAAAGAGATAGCCTAAATTCAATCCCAAAAATTAAAAGTGGACTATTCTGTTAAACTACCAACAGAAATTTCCTTTTTTTCCTTCCATGCACACAAAAAGATATTACCATGACCCGCATGCTCCCTACAGAAAAATTCGGCGCTCGCGCGGGAAGGAGAGAAGCGCGGAGAAGGAGAGAGAACGCGCAGACAAGAGATTGTGAGTCGCTCTCTCACCCTCAAATCCACATAACGAAATATATGGAGATAGAAACTCCAAAACTAGTGCAAGACTTTTGGGAATCTGTTGGATCTGATTTTTTTTTCACTAAAAACCCTTAAAATCAGTTTTGGGAATGAAATAGGACGACGGTTGGTGATACTCTTACGTGGCCGTTGAATGGTGGCCGTTGAATGGTTGAAGGGCTACGTGATACCGTTCAAGATAGCAGTTTCGAACCAGACATACCAAAATAATCAGCGAAATTTCTTTAACCTGATTGAATACGTCATGTACAAAGTTACACATATTCTGTTAGTGGAATACTGTATTTAGATGCAACATCAGTCAACAGTAACCTATACAATTGAGTACAACAATATTGGTGTAATGGCGATCGAACCGTCAAACGTATGGCATCGTGCAGCTCTCGACCCTGCCGATCTGCTTGGAGGCGCCACCGGCGGCGCAGGCATCCGCTCGCGCGGAGCGATGCCGGCTGAGGCAGTTGGTCCTTGCGATGTCGCGCATGGAGCGCACGAGCGACAGCGTGGGGTTGAGCCGCACGGTGCGGTTGAACCTGTCGCAGAGCGACGCGTGCGACTCGACGGCCTCGCCCACCGTCAGCGCCGGCTCGCGCCGCCGCCGCTCGCTCACGGCCTCCGCGCACAGCCCGCAGACCAGCCTCCCCTCGAAGCGCGCCCGGACGCGGCGGACGTATCCCGGGGTGCAATCCTCCGCCATGCCGCAGCACTCGCACCGCACGCTCCGCGCCTCCTCCTGCTGCTGCTGCTCATCCACCTCCTGTAGATCACAAACGATGCACGGCACGATCGGTATCCATGCCAATGGATCGGAAAAGCAGTGGGATAATTAGAATGGCATGGTTACCACTTACCGTATGGGCCTCGAGTTCGACTTCCTCGTCAACTAAACGCGCCGTATACCCCTTCATCGTCTGATCGGTCGTCGAATCTTCCGAGCTCTGCCAACCAATCACTAGTCCGTTCCACTATGAGTCTGATGCACTTTACGGCTTTGCCTGTGTTGCCAGGAACATGTGTGCGCGCCTCGGCTATTTATAGACCCGGTTTTCAGGTGTTACCGTCAGGGCCCTGCGTGTCGAGTGCAGGAGCCCCTGGCCAATGCCCATCCTAGGACGTCGAGATCGCGCCCCGTGATTGGCAGGTGAATTCGGTTTTGTTGCGGCAGAGAGCCTCTTGGTTCTGCTATTCTATCAGCCACCCGGTACGTGTAACATGTGAAGATCGTGCAGCCCGTGACAGCATGCTGCCGGAAACAGAAACAGGGGACGACCGGCCGGCAGTTTTATCTGCCGTAGATTAATTCTGCGGGCGCACCGCGTGGATGCAATCCATCGTATAATCCAGCCAGCTTAATCATCGGTCATGTCACTTAACTCACTTCACGTTTCACTTGTTCCGGAGCAAAGGCTAAAATAGGACAGCTACAGCTAGGACCTGCATGGCGCTGTAGGGAACGATGAGAGTGAGATGACTCGGACAGAGGCACCTGATGACTGGGCGGGTGAAGTGGCATCACTTGAATAGATGCAAAATTTGCACTGAAAGTCTGAAAGAAACAGATCGATGGATCTTTCATGGTTACCGTGCGCCAAATTTCTGAGTGAGTACTCTCTTGCTGAAGTAGTACTAGTAGTAAAGCAGAGTAAGATTCATAACGAACTATCGCGAGTGCAGATGATCAAGTGCTTCATCATGTTCTTAAAAGAGAAAAAATCTATGTCAAGAACGCCTTATCATTTGCATGACCCACATAAGAAAAAGCACCGTCACACATAGAAACAACTTGACAAAATCACGAGATTAACTTGAACCAGGCCACAACAGTAAAAGTTCCGTGCCATGATAGCGAAGCAAATACCTGGGTTTCTCCTGATTTCAGTGGCGAAATTACTGCGCCACTGTAGAGGGCCATCAAACGTAACGAGCAGGATTATATGCCACTATTGAGGCTGCGGCATCGATCGGTCGCCGTCGCAGCTTGTTGTGACCTTAGGTCACGAACAAGATCGGGGATAGGCCGGAAAGAAGTGTTTTCCCGCCTATCCTTAGAAACTAGCTCGAACAGCAAACACAACTTTTGAGGATTACTCTTGTATTCAAGATGTCTTGTCCTGCTACAGGTTTTTGACTGGCTTTTATAACCAGTGGTCGTACACGTGAGATTACATTTTTACCCCTGTGGGTCTTTGTAAGTTTACTCTAATGCCCCTGCCACATCAGCGTCTGTGGGGGCATTCTAGTACATCTCCAGGGGTCTTTTAGTCTTTTAGGTGCTAGCTGGCGAGAGTGGTTGAAGGTGGTCCCCACGGAATCTTCCCTTGGCATCTTCTCTTGTTCGAGTAGTGCTCTTCCTCGAACTCTTGGGAAAAATGCCTTTTCCGTCCTGGACCGTCTTCTTCCTCCTGGGAATTCGAATTCCCCTTTGCCTTCTCTTTCATCCTTGGAAAACACCTGTGAAATTGTAACTTGTCCAAAATATGTGTAGTTGTATTAGCGATTATGGGATGTCCCTAAAAAGGTGTTCTTCACCCGAAGAGGTATTTTCTATTCGAATGAGTGTTCTTCCTCTGGGAAGGTATTTTCCCTTTGGAAAGGTGTTCTTCCTCTTGGAAAGGTAGTTCCCACTCAAAATGAGTGTTTTCCCTTCTGGATACTTAGGTCTTGCAAAACCTCGTAGTGTTTTGACCGAATTGGAGGAAAAGGTGTTTGCACCCTGCTACAACAAGCCCCTCACGGGTAAGGGCGATGTGTGTTTTCGGCCGAAACCGTGCCTGAGTTTATGGAAAAAGGGGGAAAACCGCCGTCCTCCTATTCGGTCGAAACACACTATTCAAATATGCATATACGCCACGTTTACTATTCATTTATTTTTATTCTTATTATTTTTCATTTTTATTTATTTTTATTTATTTATTTATTTATTTATTTATTTTTTGAATGCCACGTGCCGGTATTTCGTTGGTGCGCTCAAGGGGTCGCGTCGCTTCGGGTTTCGCGTCCGCTCGTAAACCCGCGACCCTTACCACCCTGCGCTATATAAGGCCAGGAGGGGTCGCTATCACGTGACCCACGCCACCACTCGTTTGCTCTGCCATCAACTCGAAATCACAAAATACTCGAACTAAAACTCTTTCTTCCTTCTTCCATTTGAGTTTTGGTGCTTTGCTTGATTTCTTCCTTTCTCACTACACAGCATGGGGAAAAACAAGAAAACTGCGGAAAAGTCGAAGTCCAAGAAATCAAAAAGCCACGAAGATACTACTTGTGGTATTGGTGCCTCTTCGATTAAGGAAAAAAACTTAAACGATCTTGTTGATGTTGGTTGGATATCTGGTCGAAACGTTGTAATTCGACCAGTGGGAGAATCAAGGCCTTCTCCTAAGCTGGGATACACTCTTGTGTTTGAGGATTTCTTCTACGCCGGGTTTAAATTCCCATGCAGCACTTTCTTGGTTGAGGTCCTGAAATTGTTCAAACTTGAGTTTCCTCAATTGACTCCGAATGCTTTAGTTCGAATTGGGCTTTTTGAATGGATGATTCGAAGCTGCGGTGGGACCCCTCGAGCTGAAGACTTTGCATACTTCCATTGTACTCGGCATTACACCAAACAGAACTCGAAGTTTGGGTGTGTAAACTTTGCTCCTCATCCCAAGCGCGGAAGTCCATGGCCAGCTGTGTCTGCTATTCGAGCAAAATGGGGGAACAAGTGGCAATCGAAGTGGTTTTATCATCAAATCCCTCTTAGCCTGCTGAATGATAAGGATTGTCCTTTTTCGTTCTCTGGGAAGAAACCGAAAACTGTCTCCGAGCCATCAGTCTCTTTGTCGCCGGAGTTCACTGCCATACAACCTCGAATCGAAGAACTTGTTTCGAAATTTAGCTGCCGAGACCTGGTGGAAGAGTTTGTTCTTCTCAAAATTAGACCTCTTTCGAGCGGCTGGGATATAACTCTCGGAGAAATCCCCGAAAGTTGCCCTTCCAGTCTTCCTCCATTTGTGGTTTCGTCTGATCGTAAGTTTCCTTTTCGAACTGCAAACCTTGTTTGTCTTGAAGAAGTGATTTAGTTAAGAAGATTTATTTTCTCCCTTTGTTATCTTCTTCCTTGTAGTTGTGATTCCAGAGGATATGGTCCGCCCAGTTCGGAAATTTCTTGGCCCTTATACCAAGGACGAGCATTTGAAATTTTTGACACTTCAAAACGGGAAAAGGCAAAATCGGGTCTTCGCTTCTCTAGGCTCCGATATCCCTGTCCGCGTTCATCCCGAAATTGTCCCCAAACTAAAGAAAAAGAAATCTGTGAAGCCCTCTTCCTCTGATGATGATGATGATGTTGAAGTGGAAGATGTTGACGAAGAAATTGGGGAAGAAAATGCTGAAGAAGAAGAAGAAGGCGAGGAAGGAGCTGATGAAGAAGAGAACGACTCGGGTGATGATAGCGACTCGAGTAGCAGTTCGAGCGACAACTCGAGCGACTCGTCTGATTCTGATGATAGCAAAACAGTTCCTCCTCCTACTGTTTTAGCTGATCTGAAAAGGAAGAAAACTGCCAGCAGTCCTCCTCCTGGACCGAGTTCTAAACGAGTGCAACTTGTTATTGATAATGATGAAGATTTGGATGAGGATGATATCCGTATTGATCTTTCTGCCATCCATGTCACCCCAATTCGAGCTGATGCTAGTTTTGCCCTTTCGGCAAAAGAAGTGGCTTCACTGCAAGTTGTTGCCCCAGCCACCACGGTTGTCGAGGAAGATTGTTCGACCCAAGTGGTTGATACTGTTGAGACAACAAACCCTCTTCGAGCTGATAGAGACTTGGTTGCAAAAAAGGCAAAAACGCCCGTCAATGCAGCCGAAAAAACCGAAGCAGGGAAGAGTGCTGCTGGTGGAGGTGTTCGAACTACATGTAGTTCGAACCCAACTCCACCTCCGTCACCGCCGTTCATCGCAACCCCTTCCCCAGAGCTGATACAAAACGTTCTTGGTGGTTTTAGCGAACGATGCGCAAAAGATGGACATTGGCTTATGGGTCTTCCTAATTTCAATGAACTCGGGGAAAGTAGCCATCATGGCCCAAACTTGTGTTTGAATGACCTAAAGTATCGCCACCCCCTGAGTTCGATTGGTGATGAACTCGAGAAGATTCTGATTACTCCTGATCTTGAAAAGGAGTTTTTGGAAGAAAATGATCTTATGTCCTCTTGGACAGCACTTGATGTATCTGCTGCACAGGTATTTCTATTTATTTATTATTATTATTATTTATTTACTTATTATTATTTTATTTATTTTTTTTGACTTAAAAACCTATTTTCTAATGCGCAGACTGCAAGCCTTGCTCGTCTTCAACGTGGTGTTGCTCGGAAAGCTCTTCGAGCGCTTTGCACGCGACGGAAGAAATCACTTGATCGCATCACTAAACTTGAAAAAGATCGGGATTATCTTCGCTGCAAACTTGATCGAATGGCCGACGAGAAGAAAATCACCACCGATCTCATGCGCAAGTTAAGCGGCGAAAAGAAAGAGCTTTCCGAAGAAAAGAAGTTGCTTACTGAGGAAAAGAAGAAATTACTCGCTCGTGAAAAAGCATTCGAGCGAAAAATCATTGAGTATCAAGACGTCGCACGACAACGCGCTGAATCAGAAGACAAGATGAAAGAGCAAGTTGAGGTCTTGGAGAAGAAGAATAAAGAACTCGAACTTGCCTGCAAAAATCAAAACGAGAAGATATCTGCTTTAGAGCTCGAGAGCGAAAATTGCCGCCAACTTCTTCTGAAAAGTTGCGAGACCGTTCGAATCGCGTTGCGAAGTCTAGGGGCTGACATCAGCTTGCTATCGGAAGAAAATACCTTAGCAGCTGTGGGAAAATGGTTCGAGGAATTTTCCATTGGGCTAAAAGATAGTGTTACTCCCTTTGCATCTCGCTGCTCGAAGACTGCTGTGGAGAGCCTTTCGGCCTGTCTGCTTTCAAATGGGTGTGAACACTTTACCACCCTTAAAGCTGATATCCAAGGTATGCTTAATGATGAAGCCAAATTTGCACAGCTTCGAGATGCAGCTCAACCCGTCGTAAAGGCTTTCCAAGTTCTTTACTGGAAGAAGAAAGGATATGAAGATACCCTGAGGTCTCTTCGAGCATCTCTTGCCTCAAGATCAAAATCACAGCTGGCCAGTTCGAGCCAACAAGATAAAGACAGTAGTACTCCGAGCTCGAGCGCACAGGTGTGACGTTCGTAAAAAGAATAGTTAAGGATGCTTCGCATACTCGAAAACAATGCTATTTTGCTGCTTCAAAGCCGTTATGGTTGAGAGCCTTTATTGTAAAAATTTATAGTGTAGCTGACTATAATGCTTTTCTCTTATTGCATGCTTTTCACGGAAATTCCCTTTCTTTGGGGGGCTGCAGGTTAACTCGAATCGAAAACTTGTGATTCGACGCAACAACACTTTGCCTACTCGAAATGTGAAGCACTTAGCATTTCGAGACCCTGCAAAGCTTTCTTCTACCAGGACCACCATTTCCGATGACGAACTCGAAGCCTGTTATGATAACACTTGTATATTTGCTTTTAAGTTTTTCCGATGGCAACGAAGCCATCGACATGACAGTTTACGTGACTTTGTACTCGAGTTTAGGGAACGGCGTTCGAACAATAAGCTTGCTAGTAAAGCCTTTTGGCAAAACTTCCAACCATCCGAACGCCAACGTAGAATATGGAAAAGGCGTTATTCAATAGTTCCATATACAGTAATGCCTTCTCCTCTCAACATTGTTTATCCCGACTCTTTTCTTTCTTCTTTGTAGAGTTTGTATGTAACTTGTTATACCTTCTTAACATCAAATAAACCCTTCCTTTCTTCTTTTCTTTATAAATGCTCTTTATTTCAATTGTTCAAGCACCCTTAGGTAAACTACGTCCTCCTTATCTTTGGAAGAAGTTACGAAATCGAAACGTACTTTATCTCGTCACATGCATTTTCCGCCTTCCGAGCTCAAGCGAGGGGAAAATAGAGTTCGAGCATTCTTTAGTTGGTTTTTTGGACTAAGGCAAAAAAGTTCGAAAACCGCCGTCCTCCTCACCTTTCGAAGGAGTGACGAGGTCGAAACGTATTTTACCTCGTCACGCGGATTTTCCGCTTTTTGAGCTCGAACGAGAATAGAGTTCGAGCATTCCTGAGCTGGTTTTAGGACTAGGGCAAAATAGTTCGAAAACCGCCGTCCTCCTCACCTTTCGGAGGAGTGACGAGGTCGAAACGTATTTTATCTCGTCACGCGGATTTTCCGCTTTTTGAGCTCGAACGAGAATAGAGTTCGAGCATTCCTGAGCTGGTTTTAGGACTAGGGCAAAATAGTTCGAAAACCGCCATCCTCCTCACCCTTCGGAGGAGTGACGAGGTCGAAACGTATTTTACCTCGTCACGCGGATTTTCCGCTTTTTGAGCTCGAACGAGAATAGAGTTCGAGCATTCCTGAGCTGGTTTTAGGACTAGGGCAAAATAGTTCGAAAACCGCCATCCTCCTCACCTTTCGGAGGAGTGACGAGGTCGAAACGTATTTTATCTCGTCACGCGGATTTTCCGCTTTTTGAGCTCGAACGAGAATAGAGTTCGAGCATTCCTGAGCTGGTTTTAGGACTAAGGCAAAATAGTTCGAAGACCGCCGTCCTCCTGTCGAAATTTGCTAGTCGAATGTATTTGACTCCGAGCGTGCGGAGTTCTATTTTGTCGACTTTGCTAGTCGAATGTATTTGACTCCGAGCGTGCGGAGTTCTATTTTGTCGACTTTGCTAGTCGAATGTATTTGACTCCGAGCATGCGGAGTTCTATTTTGTCGACTTTGCTAGTCGAATGTATTTGACTCCGAGCGTGCGGAGTTTTATTTTGTCGACTTTGTTAGTCGAATGTATTTGACTCCTAGCGTGAGGAGTTATATTTTGTCGACTTTCTTAGTCGAATGTATTTGACTCCGAGCGTGCGGAGTTCTATTTTGTCGACTTTGTTAATCGAATGTATTTGACTCCGAGCGTGCGGAGTTCTATTTTGTCGACTTTGTTAGTCGAATGTATTTGACTCCGAGCGTGAGGAGTTATATTTTGTCGACTTTGCTAGTCGAATGTATTTGACTCCGAGCGTGCGGAGTTTTATTTTGTCGACTTTGTTAGTCGAATGTATTTGACTCCTAGCGTGAGGAGTTATATTTTGTCGACTTTGCTAGTCGAATGTATTTGACTCCGAGCGTGCGGAGTTTTATTTTGTCGACTTTGTTAGTCGAATGTATTTGACTCCTAGCGTGAGGAGTTATATTTTGTCGACTTTGTTAGTCGAATGTATTTGACTCCGAGCGTGCGGAGTTCTATTTTGTCGACTTTGTTAGTCGAATGTATTTGACTCCGAGCGTGCGGAGTTCTATTTTGTCGACTTTGTTAGTCGAATGTATTTGACTCCGAGCGTGAGGAGTTATATTTTGTCGACTTTGCTAGTCGAATGTATTTGACTCCGAGCGTGCGGAGTTCTATTTTGTCGACTTTGTTAGTCGAATGTATTTGACTCCGAGCGTGCGGAGTTCTATTTTGTCGACTTTGCTAGTGGAATGTATTTGACTCCGAGCGTGCGGAGTTCTATTGCAGTCATACACAGAGGCATGTTTTTTATACAGGTTCGGGCCTCCATTATGGATAAAAACCCTACGTCATGTTTATATACATTAACTTGGATATCATTCGTATTTACATCTGAGTGAGTATACTACAAACTCGAGCTCCCGTGTTCTCCTTTTTCTCTTTCTCTCTCTCCTCTTTTTTTTTTTAGGCATAAAATTTCTTCAAAGAAATAGCATTCCAAGTATGCTTTAACTCTTCACCATCAAGATATGCTAACTTGAATGCTCCCGTTTCTGTCTTCTTTTTGACTATGAATGGTCCTTCCCACTTTGACTCGAGTTTTCCAACAGCTACCTCATTGAGCACTTTCTTCAAGACTAAATCTCCTTCTTCAATCGGCCTTGTCTTTACTTTTTGGTTGTAATAGCTCTTTGTTCCTTCTGTGTATGATGCCATCTTCTCCAAAGCTTCGACCCTTATTTCATCTAGCATTTCAAGAGTTATCTCTCTTCCTTCTTCATCTTTTTGGTCAAATATCATTCTTGGAGAATGTGCCCCTACTTCGCTTGGAGTCATTGCTTCATCGCCATAAACCAATCTAAAAGGGGTCATGCCAGTCGACCTTACTACCGTGGTTCTTAGTGCCCAAAGCACTGATAGCAAGTCCTCCGGCCATTTCCCTTTTGCTGATCCTTCTAACCTCTTCTTGATAGCTTCCGTGATTTTACCATTTGCCCTTTCCACAGCTCCATTTGTCTGAGGATGGCCTACAGAGGCAAAGTTGATTTGCAAATTAAGGCCTTTACACATGTCTTGAAATTTTCCAGATTCGAATTGCTTTCCATTGTCACATACTATTTCCTTTGGGATTCCAAATCGACATATTATGTTCTTCCAAACAAACTTTTGTACTGCTGCAGAAGTTATTCTTGCCACTGCTTCTGCCTCAATCCATCTTGAAAAGTATTCAATTGCAACAATGACAAAGCGCAGATCTCCCTTCGCTCTTGGAAGAGGACCTACTATATCTATTCCCCATCTGTAAAAAGGCCAGACTGGCGGAATTGGTTGCAGTTCTTTGGGTGGTGCTTTTGTCATTGGACCGAACTTCTGGCATGCTTTGCACGTCTTGATGTACTTCTCTGTATCTTTCATAATTGTTGGCCAATAGATTCCTTGTCTTATGACTTTTGAAGCCACTGACCGTGGTGCTTGATGAGCTCCACACAAGCCTTCATGTATTTCTACCACCATCTTCATGCCCTCTTCCCTTGTTACACACTTTAACAAAGGAGCAGTAACTCCACTTTTATACAACTGTCCCTCTACCACTTTGTATTTCTTGGACGTTAGTTGTATTCTCTTTGCTTCTTCTTCCTTTTCTGGAAGTTGTG